AATCATTTATTAGTGGGGTCGAATGTATGTTCATTCAAACAAGTTAAACTTATTTCTTTCTTTGAGAATACCAGTAGATTACTCAAGCAAGGGACAGCTGTACAAATCTCAGATCTGGACTTCAGGAAAATACCTAATAAGATGTCTCATGATATCTTTGTGAAGACGGTGGATAAGTAAAGCTGAGTGCAAAAATCAGCTGAGTGGATTATTCAATGTTGTAATGTCTGTACAAAAAAGTTACTAATCGAAGGAATAATATCGTTGTAACCTAGACATTTTACCTGTAAAACGGTCAGTATAGTTTAAGTTGTATTACAGTGACAACGGAGTCTAATTTCTTTTTCAGGCTACATGTTCACTGTTACTTTGCTGGGGACACTGATTCACAACATTTTCACTAGGCGCCTAAGCTGAAAGAACGTCCACAATTTGGAAAACCTCCGGTGGGATTGGGTAGATAATGGATACAGCAAGTTTTATACTGGCCTAAAGATTGTTTTTCTGCTCTCAACACTTCTGCCACCAAATGTGTGTTTTATATTTACCACACTAAACAGTTCTGACACTCACTACCTGGAGTTAGCACTGACCACACACCCCAGGCTTAAGGGCTCAGTCCCACCAGGCTGACTTCTACTTCGGATGCCATCTGTACTTTTGACCAACAAGCTATATAGGTCACGGGTTCCTACAATCCACTTCTTGAATGGCTCACAGAACTCAGGGAAACAGTTTACTTACTATCACAGTTTTAAGGAATATTATTTCAAAATGTAAACTCACAAATATTTGCCTTAAAAAACAAAGTTATCATAAAAATATTTTAGATTTCAACAAAATTAAGACTGTAAACTGTAAGCTACTGGCTTGAACAGCTCATGACAGAAATACTAAGTCTGTATATGTTCACTGCCATATTATCAGATACAGATTTTCAAATAACTAAAACATGTTCCCCAAACACATAATTTTATATCATGGACCTCAATGATGGTTTGCATAACAAAGGTGGATTAACAGGATGAAGAATAATATTTTATGCATAGAATTATTTAAAGTAACACATAAAAAGGGACTAAAATCCTTTATATAGACTCAACTATAAAAACTGGTTTTAATTATTCATAGTTATTTTTGTATGGTATTTCTTAAAAAGGGATAGGACCTGATTTAAATTCATTCAACAAATTGTAAAGGCAAGCTTTATGCTACATTTCTAGTCTAGAGCATAAATTTCAAATCTTTCCTGATTTGTTTACAACTTGAGGAACTGAAAACTGGATGATAACATTAGAAAACTTTATACTATGGTCAAATATTTCTTACTTATATTTATATACGTGTGTGTATATAAATGTATAGATACATATATATACACAGTGAAGCCTGTCACTTGATCTATAACTCTAAGCTACCCACGAAGAGCTCATTTTAAATTTTAATTTTTTGAGGCCACTAGAATATTTTAAAGTCAATTTTGGGAAAAAAAGTTAATAGTGCCTTACTATGGTGATATAGATAAGAAACTAGCATATTCAATAATTTAGCAAATAATCTCTCTCAAAGGCAGAAAAAACACACACATAAAGCTTATCTAGAGTTAAGTAAAGTATTTGTTAAAGTTTCTTATATCAGCAAAGAAAATATGGAGAAATTGAGTTGAGCTATTATAAAATTAGATGCATTTGTCAGTGACTGAATTATTAAATTATCAGTAATTGATCACAGACAACATTGTAGAACATTTATAGATACTAAGGAAGGAATCAATCCTTAGCTTTATCCAAATCTATTTTTTCCTTAAAGGTATATACAAAATATAGATGACATCTAATTTGTAAATTATATGATGCAAGAAACTATAGCTAATTAATCATATGCTACAATCTAGATCAAAAAAGACAATGAAAGACTGAAATAATAGAATAAAACCAATCAGCTTAAAATTGCCAAACACAAAAACTCTTATACATGTGTGTAGAAGAACTCTATACAAACACAAACAGAGGTTTAATAGCATCATGTGTTTAAAAAGAAAAACGCCTACGTAATTCTGTGTAACTATAAACATCATATACATCAACACTGTGAAGGTGCGGCCAAATATCAAGACTACCTGCATGAACAGAAATATCACATACATAACAAGGGAGGTTTTCTTTAAGCCAGAAAGAACATATGTGTAACACAGATACAGACGTCAATTCAATACAGTCTCTCTTCCAAGGAGGGGCTATCAATAAAGTGAAAACCTATCCAAAGAAGACGCACCTGATGCCAGTGTCTTATAAAAAATGGTTTTAAAAAAAATCTAGAAAGGTTTCACTGTTCAGACACTTAGGAGCGTACACAATAACTACCTACAAAACACCTAATGGCTCTTACAGAGATGAATTCGATTTAGGGAACAAGTCCAGTGTATGAACACTACAAAAAGTTGTATCTCACAGCACAGTGGAAAGCACAGACCAACACTCTTCACTAAACAGTGAATGAAAGCTCCACCTTATACATCTTCATATCCTTGGTGTTTGCAGTGTCAAGTAGGCACTCAATTTTAGAAGTACTGCTTTAACTAAATGGAAAAATTAGTACTGAAGTAGAAAAAGACTGTACAGAGGTAGTGCTTTCTTTACTTAACGGTATACTTGTGAGGAGTGTTTCTCAAAGTTTCTTTTAGGGAACATCAGTCCCATGATTTATCTATGGTTAAAGGATTACAGGAGAAAATGGAAAATGGCATAGCCCTTGTCCCCAGGTTGGAGACATGAAATGCTCATCAGTTTATTAAGGATTTGTGAGAAGCCCTCATTAAAGAAGTCCGTTTAACTCTATTCACTGCTGCCTCTCCAATTTTTTAACCACAGCTCTTTTTTAATGGCATATCTAACAAACATCCCAGGATCCCTTAGTAAATGCTCTTTAAGGTGGAATTATGTATTGGACAGTGTGTTGGGCTAGTAAAAGTCAATTCACATCTGTGTCTTTAAGGACAAAAGTAAACCTTTCATTTTAAACATTTTCACATACTTGAAACGTCATTACTGAAATGTTAAGAAGAGACAAGCAACACCTAAGTAAGCTATCTTTGCATCCTAAAGCAATGAGAGACATATCCTGAAGGGCTTGCAGGACCACCTTTTTCCACTTTTGGTAACTTAGTAGACAGCTGGCTTAGCAGGTCCAAGTGTGCTTAAAAAGAGCAGTCAGATACCAAGCAGTGGGCTGCAAAGGCTCCTGCTTTTCAACAAGGCTACTTTTCCAATCAGGGAGCCTTCACAGGTACAGAGTCACATAGATACTCACCGTACTCCATTCCATAAAAGGGTAGAACATGTCAAGTGTGAAAAAAATGAATACTTTTTTGTAAATATGAACTCTACAAGTGTTACCAGGTTTAGCAAATAAAACACAAGATGCCCAGTTATACTTGAAATTCAGAATAACGATAAAGAATTTTTTGTGCAAATATGGTCCATGTAACATTTGGGACATACTTATGCTAAAACATACTTTTTCTCTGAAATTCCATGCTCCATTTCAACTGGCAACCAGACCCTCCACTAGAAAGTCAGCTACAGACCCTTTGTGCTTAGTCTAAATCAGAGGACAAAGAGAGGTCCAGAACTGTGTGTGCTCTACCATTCCCCAGCTTTTGAGGCTTTCCTGAGTGAACACTATTTTATACCTGTATAGCATAGCATTAGTCCATGACTCCTTTGCATGGCACAAGAGAAATAACTGATTTCTTTTTCCCACCACGTTAATCTAGGGTACAACCAAAGACAATATTGAAGAGGAAACATTCCTGAAGGAAGATACAGACCTGAGTTCTTATTCTTACTCTGCCAGTTTTATGTCCTTGGGCAACTACATGTCTCTCTTTAGGCCTTGGTTGTGCTGACTTCAGGAACCATATGGCACTAACATTTTACAATTCCATGATCCTAAGTGAACTAAACTTTGCCTTGTCCTTAGGACCAACTGGAGGTCATGCTTGTCTATGTCAGAAGCACAGGAAACAACCTCAAAGTTAAAGAAAACCAAGGAACTGGCTAAAAGATGCCCCTTATATTCAACGAAAATCCATTTGTTTCAAAAGAAATGTTGTTACCTTCAGGCTAAAAAGGCACCTTAAATATTTCATAAACAACAGCTGTTATTCATCAACCATATAGTACCAAATCATTTTTATTCCAGACCACTAGAAACAAAAGCAGTTGACTATCTTACTTCCTTGACTCCTATGTGGTACAGCTCTAAGACACCATGAAGCTTTCTGCAAGTTCTATGAAAGGTATCTATGCACAAAGGGCAAAGCCATCTTCTGTAACAGATTCTCCAAACAGTTTGATTTAAATAGCATTTCTCCGCACAAAGAATCTAGAATGCTAATTCATTTTGCCTTCAGCTGAAGTAACTCGCTATTAAAAGACAGCGCCAGTAAGAGTTTTTGTCTAGTTAAATACCATGCCCTCATGTAACCCAAATGCCAGCCACTGCTTTCAAATGAGTAAAGTCTTGATTACCAACATCTTTAGCACAGCATTAAAGGAATAAACAACTTTAAATTATACAAACAGCTAAGATTGTGACCTTAGAGTTGCCAGTTAAATACAAGAGTCCAGTTAAATATGAAATTCAAATTTCAAATTCCAAAATTGGAATTAAAAATAAAATTATTATTTATTTGAAATTCAAACTTAACTGGGGATTCTGTATTTTTCTCTGCATATCTGGCAATTTTATGTGGGCTACCTAGTGTGAGATCTTTGTCAATTTTCATCTTTTTATTCCCCCTAATCAAAACACTTGTTTTGATTTTTAATTTTCCCTTAGATTCAAGGGTTTCTACCTGCTGCAGAACATGAATAGAGAAGTAATTTACCAGCCCAATTTTTTTTTAATATTTCTTTGCTTTTAACAAAATCAGGTTCCCACCAATAAAACTGTAGTCTAAAAAACATACAATCTGAAGAGACCAACATTTCACCTACCTGTGGGTAATATACGAGAAGCCCATATAATAAAATATTTCTTTTTTTCACTTGTTTGGCAAATTCTCTAATCTGCATTAGGTTTTCCATTTTCTGACCAAATGGTACTGATTCATAATCAAGAAATTGCACCTGCAAAATAATATAAAAGGTAACAGAGTACCATTCAGTTTCCCTTGAAAAGTATGACATTAAAGAAGCTTAAAACACATATAATATTGAAATTATTTTTATTTTATTAACTTCTAATCATTTCAACCCATAAATACTTAATAAAATGAATCATCCTTTATAAATACAGATGTAGTAAACACTAATTGAAAAGTATAAAATGCTAATATTCTATTTCAATTTGTGTCAGAGTCAAGTATATTGATATAAAGAATATATGATTTCATCAATTCTTTCAACTTACTTCCTAATTTGTAATTTGAAACTAGGCTAGATAGAAATAAATAGGTTAAGAAATTAACAATAACAATAAAATATAAGGGACTGCTTATCCAAATACATAAAGTTTTTTAGAAGAATCCCTTTCAAAGTAATAATTGGAATTTAATAATAATCTACTCCTTAAAGTAAATCCAGAAGAATTTTATATAGAATTCTTTTAGCAGTGTTAGTGTTTTTCTTGAAATTATTCAAGTGACTATTTTTTAAGCATTATTTTTCATTTAAATTTAAGGTCTCAGGGTGATCTGTGCTCTTTTCTACAAACTACTACTACTGAGATGATACAATACTGTCTGTCTTTCATGGGATATAAAAACGTAAATCACAACAATAGCTTCAAAATAAACTATTTAAAATGCAAATGTACATATACAATGAGCATAAAGAAATATGTGTATTCTTCTGCAATATCAAAATTTTAAAACAAGAATTATTTGTTCAATTTTGTTTATTTATTAACTAGGAGCATTTTATAATATACTCCACGTTATATACTAATACTAATCCCTTATACCAATCTTATACTAATCCCTTCCTCTCTGCTCATTCATATGGAAATGTGCTCTTTATGACAACAGACAATAAAACATCTTATTATGTTCTTTCTGTAAAACAAGGGAATGAGAGGGGTTTTTTTCACCCATTACATTTTGCTTTGCCAGGGAAAATTGCTTATATAACATCCATTTTTAAAGATAATTGAGATAATGTGCAATGTATTTTAATTTAGTAGATATTCAGTAACTTTCTTGGAACTTTTCATTAAATATAGTCAGTTGAAAACATATACATATAGCTGCTACCTCTTGAAATCTAAGGTAACAATAAAGACTTTTTTCCTTAAAAATGTCCAATTCATAAACCAAAAGAACAAAGAAAAGCAAAAAACAATTTTTTTGGAAGATAAAAAGCAGAAAGAATAATTTTCAGGTTTTTCTATCTGCTGAATAGCTGAAGAAAAGACCATGTAACCCTGAAACCCTGGGCTCACCTTCCCCTAAGCTCTGTTTCCCTAAAAACTTATGAAAGTGAAACTTCAGCTTTTTTACCAGGTAGTATTACTTATGGTAAAACTAACTCCTGACTGGTAAACCACACCCAGGCTGGAAGAATTGTGAATGAACTATAAATACTAGACCTTCCTTCAAAGTAATTCACCTTATAGCCAGGTGTTCCCCTTGCTGGTACCTGGAAGCTAATGACTATCAGCTGTTGCAAAAGATGTCGGCCCCTATTTGCAGCTGAGGCCTTCTGAAAGGATGGCTCACATACCACCTTCTGTGATCTCCTTCCCTCACCCCTGAGAAACCAAGGTAGAGGGAGAAGTGGGGAGAAAAAAGCAGCCCCTAAACTCATGTGAGATGATGAGCGCAGGAGCTAAGGCAGAAGACACTCCCACCTCTGCCCTGCCTTTTTCCCTGCCCTGTAGTCTTTCACAAAGTTGGTCAAACTAGTGCTATAAAGGCTTCTACTCTTAGGAGTTTGAACCTAAAATTGCTGTGGTGTGCTTGCTACAAAAAGCAGGCTAATTCCCCAACACTGAGGCAATTTTGGAAACTCCAGTCACGGTATGTATCTGAAGCCAGGGGACAGGCTGAGGGTAAGAGTCTCTCCGGAGCCCATATGGCCCGATCACTACATAGCCCCATACCAGCTAGGCTGGGGAACAATACTACTGTTTGGAGTTAAAAGCCTCAGAGGACTGTTTAACTCTTTTAACTGTGTAATTACCTGTACTATTCAGATACCATGAAATGCTAGCGGCCACCTTGCCCAACATACTTTAGATGAATGGAATGCCCTAGAATTTTGCAATACACACCCTGGGCAACCTTACTGTCAGCCTAGATAGACAGCTAGACAGACAGACATTTCTTGTTTAATACAAGTCTTCCTGACAAAATTTGAGTTCAGAAAAATCTTGCACTAAAGTAAGGGAGGTGGGTGGTAGGGAGACGGTTTGTGTAAAACTAGCACAAGGAGCAGAAAAGAAAAGACCACTATAACTGGTAATTATAGCCTGTACAGAAATTTAAAATGTACAGAAATGAAAGAGTGGAAATGCTGGTAATGCATTAATTAGAGAAGGAACGATGACTATGATACAACTGGGAATGAGCTCTGCGCCAGGAAACTGCCATTAGGGTTGGCCCAAGAGGAAACGCATGCTGCCAGGAGCTGGGGAACCTCTCGGGGAAGTCAGAGCTGGGAGCAGGTACTCATTTTTAATTTTCCTTAAAGAGTGTCCTACAACAGAGCCTAAAATTAATTCTTTAAATACCAGTTAATTACATTAACTATTAATTGTAAAAATAAATTATAACTCTGGGAGTCTAAAATAATGGTAAACCTAAAACTCGAGACAAGATTATATTGAAACGAGAACATTCAACAGATAAAGTGTGAATCTTTTTTTTTTTTTTTGAGGGACAGAAATTAGAGACCTAATTAGAAATTAGAGCTAATTATGTATATTAAAATTAATGCTGGGGCTTCCCTCGTGGTGCAGTGGTTGAGAGTCCACCTGCCGATGCAGGGGACGCGCGTTCGGGCCCCGGTCTGGGAAGATCCCACATGCCACAGTGCGGCTGGGCCCGTGAGCCATGGTCGCTGAGCCTGCGCGTCCAGAGCCTGTGCTCCGCAACGGGAGAGGCCACAACAGTGAGAGGCCCGCGTACCACAAAAAAAAAAAAGTAATGCTATTTAATTAAAGCTATATACAATTATATTGTATAGTTTCCAAACTTGCAGAGGGGCTAAAGGATTATTTGTATCAATGCAACAAAGCATAGGAGGAAAGTAAAGCAGCAAACAAAACAATTGGCCAACAGCAATAACCAAAAAAAAATAAGCTTGTAGAAAGAATCCCAAATATAAAAATAATAAAGATAAATGTAACACTTTTTAACTCTTTCTTAAGTGACAGATTTATCAGATTGGATTTTTTTAAAAATCTAACTATATGCTAGTTATAATATAAATGTCTAATGAAAACTATCCTGAAAGTATGTACTTTACAGGATAAGACAGTTTTCATTAGACATTTATGTATGTACTGGTATGAAAAGGCATACCATGCAAATACTACCAAAAATGAAGGTTGTAGCAATATAATAGGGTTAAGACCAAAAACACAAACATTGATACAGATAAAGAAAAACAGTACATAATAAAAAACAAAACTTATAATAACCATAACCTTATTACTAATATAGATTTTAAAACACAAAGCAAAAAAAAAAAAAAGACTGAATTATGAGAAAACAATATCCAAATCCATAAACACAGAGGAATGTTTGACTGCACTTCTCTTAGAAACTAATACATGAGACAAAATTTTTTTTTTTTAACGTCAAAGGCTTCTGCTTCCAGGGCAGCAGCTGAGCTGAGGGTGTTTCTCTTTCCTCCCAAGGTTATAATTCTATTCCTGTTTTTCTGGCTGTTTCTATCTAGGAAAAGCTGCACACGAGCTGATGCAACTTCACATTAAATGGACCTAACTCCTTTATTTACTAATGACATAGAAGCTAATTTTTCTTACAGAAACAGATGTTGTAGCATAGAACATCTAGGTTGAACTGAAGGACACGCTACATGTACAATAGTTTTTAAAAGTTCCCACCAAGTCATGAGATTCTAAACTAGGAATGGAAGGCTTTCACTCCAGCTATAGGTCTGTAAGATTCAACATATCCTAGCTCCTTGAAAAGAAAAAATGTTAACGGCACTCAAAAAAATCAGTAGGTCAATTCTGTTCACCGGAGATTCCACAAATTAAGGAAATAATGCGTAAAAGTGAACTCTGGGCGAACTATTTATATACCTTCAAACTGCCTATTTACCCCATTGTTGACCTAAAACAAAGACGGGTTTATTCATTTGGGATCATCAGAGAATTGTGATTCGGTGTCTGTAACCATGGTGAGCCATGTGCAAATTCTCACACAGCAAGAAAAGGAGAAGGCTTTTATTGAGGGGGAAAGGAAGTTGGAGGGCTATAGTAAACAAAGAGTCCCTGACTTTCTATTCACTGAGTCTTCGCCAGGAAAGAGGAGTGTTTCTTCTTCCTGTCGGGCTCTGCTATAATCTCAGGGCATGAGAGCTCCCCCTTCTGGTATCCTAATTCTTTTTAATAGCGGTTTATGTTTATTAATTTTTTCATACCACCAAACCAAGTACTTAAATTATAGGGAAACTTTAAGACATAAAGTAGTAGAACACAGAAGAATAAGGCAGCTTTTCTAAACACTTAGTATGTGCTAAATATTATTGTAGCTGACATATGTCACTTTTAAAGAAACAGATATTGACCTTATGAAATGTATATAATCAGGTTGATAAAATTCGAGCATGAAGAAGTAGGATGCATCTCAAAATTCTTTTTCACCATGTGAGAAAGCCTGATGACATCATAAAAACCGGAAGATAATCTCCAGCAGATGTACTTCCTAATACCAATAACGTAAAATATAAGCATATACATAACACTGTGCTACTAATTTTGAATTCTAAAATACATCAGCTACTTATGAGGTCCAGGAAAATATTGAGTTGGTACAATACAATCAACTTTCATTTTAAAAACAGGACAGATTTATACAACTGTAGCAGAAGGCTGCAAAATGGTCATGATAACTCAAGAAATGTAAATGTTTTTGCCTTAATAAACAGTTTGGACA